AGGAAGGCATTTTCTGATCTTGGATTTCTTCAAGAATTAAAACCACCATAGTTGCCTTAAATAGTAGTTCCCAGCCTTTCATCACCAAGGACCCCTTTTGATGTCTGTCCCCACCTCCATAGTTTAAGTTTTCAGCCAAATAACATTTCTATAACTGTCAATCAGTGCTTCTGAATAGCATGCAACAATCAGTGTTATCAGCCTCAGTAGGTTGATATTTTAGCCACAAACAAACAATCTAAGCATTTTATGAGCCCAGGAGTTCAGGATACAGTGAGTTATGATTGTGCCACTGCACTCCAGCCTGGGTGATAGAGTGAGACCCTGTCTCTTAAAAAAAGAAGCTAAGCATTTTATTTCAACTTCACCATAGGAAAACATAAAACATCTATTAAGCTTTTGAAATTTTGCAACAATTCATGGCTTCCCCCTCTCCCCACTCCATTACCATTTCCTTGGTTCAAAGATTAGGAATCACTAATCTTAAAAAATACTATCATGAAATCCAGTTATAGAATATTAAAACTGAGTGGGCCCAGAGAAGTTTATATGAATCTTCTCATTTTACACAGGAAGAAACTTACACCCTGAGGAACCAGATAGCTTGGCCAAGGTAATATATAACAAAAAGCCAAGCTATAATGAAAACTCTAGTCTCACAGCTTCCCATCCAGTGTGCTTTGATCTATACAAAACGTCTGTTGTAGGTGCTTCTTTGCCATTCTTCTGCTAAGTAACCTGGGTCATCTTCTGTAAGAAATTTCTTTGTATTTGAGAGGCTGCTAAATTAAATGGAGAAGTTACAGAGCACAGTAGGTTTTTCTTAGGTTTGCAATTCTGAAATTAGTGGTTCCCTCTGGAGTAGCTAAGAGGTAATCGAAGGTGTGATTCTTGTCTGAGTTGTTTGGCATGGTTTGTCCAACCTTCAGAAATCATTAATGATGCTATCTTTGATTATATCAGAATTTGAATATTTGAAGCCAGAAATGAATAAAAAGAATCTTTATTGTTTTGACTTTTTTCTCCCTCCTCCTCCCTCCAAGAGCTGGGGTGCGGAAGGCTATCATCTATGGGTGATCAGTGGATTTGGTTCTCAAAACACTGAAATTGAGTCTGACCTCAGGAATATAGTTAAACAGCCCAGCATTCTGCTGTTTCAGTTTATCAAGAGTGTACTCACTGTAAACCCTTGTATAGTAAGTATATTTAAAACTGTGATTTCTGTAGTGTCTTTCATGTT